TTAAATAATATTAACCCTAAAATTTTAATAAGGGTAAAATAGGAATTAAAAAATAAAGAAAAGGGTAAAAGGGGAATGGGGTGGTGGAGGAAGCAAGTTGTGGTGGTGGAGGGAGTAACACCCTTATTATAATTTTATTAGCCTAAACTAAATTGGGCCGATGAGAGAAACGGTCCAATAAAGGTGAAAACCCTGGAGGCGGAATAAAGAGGAAAAGAGTTATCCCTATCTATATCTATCTACTCATCATCCAAGCTCAGTGATCATCAAAACCGACGCCGAGTGAAGCTGCGAAATCCCAAACCAACCCTCTACGACATACCGAACCATGTCGCCAGGTCCCGTCGTCGACGCTTCCCCTGAGATTGAAGTAGAACAAGAGGTTCCTGCCGTCGACGACGCAACGCAGAAGAAGAAACCCCAACCACAGGTTTCTCCTCACTAATTCTCACTCTTTCCCCTTTTCATTTTTCTGTTTTAATTCCCAAAACGCGATTCGACTCGTTTCTCTTGTTGATGTTTGGTGTCTCATTTTGGAGCATGTTGTTAGGATGACGATGCTCCCCTTGTCGAGGACGTGAAGGACGAAGCTGACGACGATGAAGACGACGATGACGACGACGATGAGGATGACAAGGAAGACGGTGCTCAAGGTGCTGTTCTCTTTCACTGCATTTCCCACTGTTTTTATGTCATAACCTAACGAAATCCTTGTTTGGTGGTTTTGTTTATTGTATGGTTAATAAACCCTGTACTCTAATTTATGAACTTTTATTATTGAGTCTCTATGTGCTTCTGCATTTTTCTAGGGTTCTGGTACAGCTCTTCGCTTAACTCACGTTAGAATAGTTATGACTCTTTGCTTGTGTTAAACAGATTGACATATAGATTAAATTATATTCTTGTCAAGCTATCATTTTGTAGCAACCATAACAAGATCACTCTAATTATATATGTTTTTGTTCTTCTTGTCAGTTAATTTTCAACTGCTTAATCTTTTGGCTGTTTATATGCGTATTGACTCTAGATGTTGGTCATGGATGATTGCTGTTTTTTGTTTTTAGTACAAGCCTTATTTTCACAAGGGTCTGGACGTATCCTTTACCCTTTTATTAATTAATGATAGCTGTGTTGGAGATTCATTGTTTGTTTGCACAGGACACAGTAGGAATTAGAAGGGGAATTGGTAAAACTTTTCATTATTTGTCACTTGATTGGTTGGATTTCGTGGGCTGTTGCTTCAAAAGATCTGGGCTACATTCAGTTGTTGATAATGTCCAGAGTTACAGATTGTGCATGATTAATAATACAATAGTTCAGTTTGTCCGAGAATTAACAGGGGTGACAGGGGCATAATGTGTTTTATTGCTGAAGAAATGACATTACCATTAGCAGAAGTTGGAATCAGTAATATATATATATATATATATATATATTTGCATTAGTTTTCACTTTCAATTAATTATTCAAGCATAACATTCATGAAAGTAAAATTTTGATGATCAATCTTTCTATATCCTAAGGTGTGGTCTCTGTTTTTAGTCTCAAAGACAACTAGTTAATTTTAAACGTTCTGAGTTTCTTACTCCCTTCAGCTGCATATTTCGAGTCAGACGGTTGTATTTTTCACTTTTATTATAGTCTTCAACTCATCAACTAGTTGCTAAAGGCTATTTCTGATCACTGAGATCTTTCTTATACCACTATTGTCATGTTTGGTCTCGGTTTTTAGTCTCGAAGACAGCTAGTTAATTTTAAACGTTGAGTTTATTATACTCCCTTCAGCTGCACATTTTGAGTCAGGCGGTTGTATTTTTATTTAATTTTTATTTTTATTATAGTCTTCACTCATCAACTAGTTCCTAAAGTCTTTTTCCGATCACTGAGCTCTTTCTTATACCACTATTGTCATGTTTGGGGTTCTTTTTGTTGATGCTGAACTTCACATCTTAACTATATTAGCATCTACTTTTATCTGTTTTTTTATTTTTACATGGTTGAGTTGTTCGTGAAAAAAGTACACACTGTATAGCAGTTTCAATGTTAGCAAGTAAATAACTGTTGCAGTTTATTTGGAAGAAAGGGTCTTTACCTAGAGAAAATGTCTTTGTAGTTATGCACTTTACGACTTGTCCTCTGCGTTTTAGCAGCCACAGGTATAATGGATTAGTCTGGCTTGTTATCTGTTGATCTTATTGTTCATTAAATTGTTTTATTGGACTGAAATGCAGGTAGTGCTGAGGGTTCAAAGCAGAGCAGGAGTGAGAAGAAAAGTCGAAAAGCAATGTTGAAGCTGGGACTAAAACCTGTTACGGGCGTTAGCAGGGTCACAATCAAGAGAACAAAAAATGTGAGTCATTATATGTATTATTCTTTTCTGCGATCTATCTGGAAGATTAATAGCCTTTAACCAAGTTATTTTATGCATTAGATTCTTTTCTTCATCTCAAAACCTGATGTGTTCAAGAGTCCAAATTCTGAGACCTACGTCATATTTGGAGAAGCAAAAATAGAGGACTTGAGCTCTCAGTTGCAGACACAGGCTGCCCAACAGTTCAGGATGCCAGACGTGGGATCTGTTACAGCGAAACAAGATCAAGATGCTGCAGCTTCAGCTGCACAGCCTGAAGAAGAGGAGGAGGTTGATGAAACTGACGTTGAGCCCCATGACATTGATTTGGTGATGACACAGGCGGGAGTGTCAAGAAGCAAGGCTGTCAAGGCACTCAAGACTCACAACGGGGATATTGTTGGAGCCATTATGGAACTCACTACTTAATTGGGGTTTATGTTTTATTTGTATGTTTTTTGCGGGATAATATTAGAACTAGTACAAACCGAATCAGAATATCAACCTTTATATGTTTGGAACTAGTACAGACCTTTGTAGTTTTGTTGCGTTCTTGAAAAAATTCAGGTCACGTTGTTTGATTTAGTTTTTTAGTTCTACTGGTTAGCATTTGTCAAGGAAGAGAATTATTAGTAGGCACAACCGAATGCTTATAAATTTACAACATTTACCATTCTAGTTCAGATTACAACCGAATGCTTATAAATTTACAACTTATAAATTTACAGCATTTACCATTCTAGTTCAGAACCCGCAACTCAATTTCCCCTACTGAGTTTACTGGAATGATTGTGTAAGAGTGTCTATCCTATTTTTGGTTGAAATGTGTCTTTATAGTTCCGAAAGTGATTCATCGGTAGATATATTGTACTTGGTTGAAACAAATATGATTATAATTGCACAATGATTTGTTTCATAAATGTGTCCTTATTATATTGTCAATTTCATAAAATATAATGAAATACTGGTAAGGTCATATCTGTGTTTGAATGTGAAACTTTTGGATTTTTAAAGGGTTTAAAATGTCATGATAAAAGGCCTCATTTGGACTCTAGCCGAAAGAACATGGAAGATTACTTCCCACACCACTCAACATTGCTCCCTCTACCGTTATATTTTTTAAAATTTTAAAATTATTCTTTATATTTTAAAAAATCCTACATCTTCACTTCTTTCCTTCAATTGATGTCAACATTTTAAAGGAAAGATTCTTCAAGGGATATGTCACAACCAATCTAAGTTTATATTTTCTTTTAGTTTTTAGTTTATTAATTTGTTGTATTTTAAATTAATATATATATATATTATTTAATTTTCTTTTTAAATTTGTTACATAATTATATATAAGTTAATTTTATTTTATTTAATAAAATAATTATAATTAGTTTAATTAAATTAAATTATTTTTTAATTAATTATTTAAACCGATATATCACATCCATTCAAGTTTTTTTTAATTTATTAAAATATTATATTTTAAATTAATTTATAGAATATTTAATTTTTTTTATTTTATAATATATTACATAATTATAAATAAATTTATTTTATTTTATTTAATGAAATAATTATTATTAATTTAGTTTAATTATATTATTTTTTAATTAATTATGTTAAACGAATATGTCACGATATATTCACATCCGTTCAAGGTTTTCTTTAGTTTTTAATTTATTAAAATATTATATTATACATTAATTTATAAAATATTTTGTTTTTTAATAATATATTACATAATTATACATAAATTAATTTTATTTTATTTAATAAAATAATTATTATTAATTTAATTTAATTATATTATTTTTTTAATTAATTATATTAAACAGATACGTCACATTCGTTAACAAGGTCAATTTTTTTTTTAATTTTTAGTTTATTAAAATATTATGTTTTAAATTAATTTGTAGAGTATTTACATTTTTTGTTTTTTATAATATATTATAATTATGTAAATTAACTTTATTTTATCTAGTGAAATTAAATCTTCAACTCTATTTGGTTCTTCTAAAAGCTAAGGATTAAATTACTCATTTGTCATGTAAAGGATATTAACATTATTCAGAATTTAAGTTGAATCATTTTTGGCATTTCAGAAATTTGTTATCCATAATTTATTTGTAATATTATACTATATGCTTTCCTATTAATATTAACATCATTTAGTTTATCAAATAAGGGATAGATATAGTTACAAATACTAATAATTAACCTATGATTTTTGTCTGTCAACAAATACGTAAATTTTGAAGGCATTCTTTTAAGAGTGTATTGGTTAGTACTTTTATAAAGTATGAGATCTATGAGTATTTATTTCAAATTTGTCTTTACTTTGGTTGCTAACTGTATTTTAGAGGAATACAAATAACACAATCAAATAATTTTTTTATTGGTTAAATTATTAAAATGTAATTTTGGAAATGGAACATGATATCAAAGTTTTTAGCTTTCAAATTTTCAAACAAATACTAGACTATATTTCTAGTATTTGTCTTTGTTATATGATAAATGTATTTCGTTACATAAATATTTAAAAAAAAATTAAAAATATGGGTCGATGGATGACTATAAAAGCCCAAGGAAAAGATGGGCCGAAGAACCCGAAAGCCCATGAGGTAGGAAGGGTGAAAGGATGAATAGCAGAAAAAGAGTCTCATCATCGAATCTATCGTTTCTGCCATTTCTATCTTTCAGTCTCAGTGTCTGTGGAGTGTTTGTTCACTAAAACAAAAACCATGTCTCCGGGACCCGTTGTTGAAGCCGCCGCCGATGCCGGAACCGAGCCACAAGTGCCCTCCGTCGAAGAGGCAGCCCTGAAGAAGAAACCTCACCCCCAGGTTCCCCATCTTCACTCATTTACTTTCAATTTTTTCACTTTACTTTCTCTCTCATTCGCTTCAACGATCTGTGTTTTCCTCAGGAGGATGATGCTCCCATCGTAGAGGATGTGAAGGACGACGAAAAAGATGAAACCGAAGACGAGGATGAGGACGAGGACGATGACAAGGATGACGCCCAAGGTCTTCCTTTTTCTCAATCACCATGTTTATATGTATCACTGTTAACATAGATTAATGGATTTAGTTGTTTGTAGATTTACAATTTTACCTCTGAGAATAATAGATTTTTTAGCTTTGTTGTAGACTATAGTTGTAATGTTAGGGATTATCTTTGTTGGCAATGAACTTAATGTGTCAACTTTTCTCTCCGTTTGATATATTTCTGTGCTTTAGGTTCTTATATCATTTTGAGATTTCTCTTTCAATGAGAAAACCAATGAGTTTCATAGTTCATAGGCGTGCATGTATGTAAACAATAACCAATAAGAAATCATTGTAACTAATAATAACTCTCAAGGTTGTTAGCGCAGAAGTTAGAGTATTCACTGTGTAGTTTAGTCAGAAATTTTAAAAAACTATATATACTTGTATTATTTGTTTCAAAGGATTGAGCTATGTGGTTGTATATTGTTGTGCAGTGTTATGAAATGAAGGTTAGGGCTATATAATTATAGGGTTTGGCCAGAAGAAAAATACATTGTGTCTTGTTTTATTGTGTCTTCAACTGCAACACTGTATCTGCTGATCTATTCTCTTGAATTAATGTATTTTTATGATGCAGGTGGTACTGAGGGATCGAAGCAGAGCAGAAGTGAGAAGAAGAGCCGAAAAGCAATGCTGAAGCTGGGATTGAAACCTGTTAGTGGTGTTAGTAGGGTCACAATCAAGAGGACAAAGAATGTGAGTCATTGTATATATTGTTCTCGTCTTTTCAGTGATCTATCTGAGATATGGATGGCTTTTAACCAGATTGTTTTATGCATTAGGTTCTTTTTTTCATCTCAAAACCTGATGTCTTCAAGAGTCCAAATTCTGAGACCTATGTCATATTTGGGGAGGCAAAAATAGAGGACTTGAGCTCTCAGTTGCAGACACAGGCTGCTCAACAGTTCAGGATGCCAGATGTGGGATCCGTGCTGGCAAAACAAGACCAAGATGCTGCAGCTGCATCCGCGCAGCCTGAAGAAGAGGAGGAGGTTGATGAGACTGGTGTTGAACCTCATGACATTGATTTGGTGATGACCCAGGCAGGAGTTTCTAGAAGCAAGGCTGTCAAGGCCCTCAAGACTCACGACGGGGACATTGTTGGTGCGATCATGGAGCTCACTACTTAGCTTCTGTTTATGTTCTTTGTTGTTGTTGATTTTTGGGGATGATTTTGGAACTAATGCCATCCTTATTATTTTGTGGTACTCAAACCATATCACTGGTGCATATGGTTGTGTTTACCTTATAATTTTGTTGCTATCTAAGATTTGTGGTACTATATGATGATGAATGATCATATTATTTTGTTGTTTTTATTCATAATAGCCTTCTTTGAGCTTTATAATGTGCCCTCGAGAGTTTAGACCTGAGTGTTGCATGTTTAATTCCTGGTATATACAGTTTGGTTTATTGGATTTGGATCCATACCTGCTACTTTTGAAGAAGGCTCATGTCCCATACCTTTGGAAATGGGATACCATACATTCAAGTAATTATTTCCAGAAGTATTGTTAAACATGTAATATACTAATTTAGCATTTGTCCTCAACGATATCTATAGCTTAGAAGAAAAGTTTGTTGGTTGTCAATAGCGAGGCATTGTGATTGGACGATCTTGGAATATGCGCAAAAGTAAATTGATTGTGATACTTCACACGACAAGCTATCAATTTTTAGGGGCAAACAGAGAGGACTGATTCAGCGACAGGTGAAGGCTAGTTTTGCGAACAAAATGAAAAAAGAAATATAACATAAGCAAAGTTACGTGCTCTATAATCAAACAGGAGGAAAAAACCTTCCACTAGAAACACGACTCAAAATATGTAAATCTTAATCTGCTGCAGGTATTTCCCGCACCACTATTGCTAGCTACTGACCACCCTGCAATTTGTTCTAATCTCTCCAGCATTACCTGTTAAGACACTGATTTGACCCATCTTAACCATGGCATCAGCAAATTTGCTTGCCCATTGATAGCTATCCCTGGCATTTTGCTCCACCTGGCTGGCTGTTTCAGCATTAGTTAAGAGAGTCTGGTCGGATGTGAACAGGCCTCGGTTTGCTAATATGTCAACATAGTAGCCTACATCTGCAATTCCAGGACTTGAAGGGTTCATTGGAACCACCATGTTTGGGTTTGTGCTGCCTTGTGGACATTTCCGCTTCAGCCATACTGCGTATGAGGGATCTAAACTTGAATCCTGTCTAGAACTGGCACTGAAATTGTACAATCTCTTGCTGAAACTTGAGCAATGAGAGCGGCCAATGGTGTGTGCTCCTGCATGAACAAAGTACACGCCATTAGCAAATTTAAGCTATAAGCAAACCATATGTTGAAGCTCTTGTATACCTGAGAGGGTGACCATTTCATCCTGTGTTAATCCCTTCCTTGCGAAGAGTTGAGTGAGCTGGTTTACATTAAAGGTTGGAGGAGGTAACTCTGTTCTAGTGTCTGAAGCTAGTGAGATTCGGCCATCTCTTCTACCTGCTGGAACATCATAACCAAGCCCTTCAGCCTGCATAATTCAAGAAATGGTTAGGTTCATTTCCTTGCTTTCAGAAATGTTTCTAGAACAAAGTACAGACACTTACTAACTCCACACTGTCCCTTGCTGCAAATGCCAGAATGTCAGCACAAGAAACAATCCCTGGACACACTGCTTCAAGTTTAGCCTTGGCTTGATCAATGACTTCGTACCCTCGAAGACTTGGTTTATTTGCGGGAGAGTCTTACTCTGCAGTGTTTGAGGGAGTGGAATCAAGAAGCACTGATGCATCACACCCCTAAAAAATTAACAAACAAGTAAAAGTTTTTACTAAAGAAAGAAGGTGAGTAGCAAATTTTACTGATATTAAGTAATGGATAAATATCAAATGGCTTCATATAATAATCACTTACTCTGATAAAGCAATCATGAAAATGCATTCTGACAAGCCCAGCAGCAATCCCAGGATTATTACTGACAGCTTTTCTGACTTCATCCTTGACAATGAACTCAGCCATACCACATGAGTAGCTGTAAAACCCAACCTGCAGTTCACAATGAGCATTTTGATTCAACAAATATATGACCGACACTATACTTATTATGCATTTAAGCATTGTTGACCTCATTTTCTCTTTAAGATTGTTTTTTTTTCTAAGTAAGATTACAACATAATTGTAGCCTATTTATACATGAAAGGCAATGATTAAGAGCATTGTTCTACCCTTAGTGTCAAGTGATAGGGCAATAAGCTGGAATATTACTATTATTATAATGTGATCGTGAAGAATGCAAGTGACTGGGGGGCTATAAGAAACGACAAGTAGAACAAGTTATAGCAGAGTACTAGTGTAGTGGTTTGATAATGTCCCTTCTCAAGATTTCACGCGGTGATAGGACGAGGAATACGTGCGTAAATCAATTCTGGTTGACTAGAGTGCACGTAAATCCAAATTGGTTGTTAAGTTGAATGGATTGGTAAATATAAATAATAGGCTAAAAAAATTGGTTTCATAATTTACATGCTAGGCCAACGTGGTAGTTGTTACAGCAACTTTCATATTCCTAGAAAGAAGGCATGGATTAGGATGAATGATTTACTGATTAAGCTTTCAATTTCCAAGACAAATTGGTAGTAGTCACATTTTAAGATTAGTTATATGTTCTAAACCACTATTTCTCATGGATTAGGTGTAACTTTGATCGTGAGGGAATGTTAATTATAACCTACCACTATCTTTTTGAAGCATCATTCATATGTTCTTGTTTATTCAATTAATCCACTTATTTTCTGCATGTTTGAAAATCCATTGAGAGCAGATTCAGGGATGTCATAGTCACGCCCAAAAACTTTATAATATTTTTTTGCCCGTTTTAGAAGAAAAAAAAATGTTTGACCAATGATACAATCATATTTATTCGAGGCAAGAAGTTACTGTTCGGAAGACAGTATCAAGTTGATAGTTTCTCATAGGTAACACAGGCTTACAAAGGTCTCTACAAAGACCTACTAGAAGGAAGACCTCAAAGGAAATATAAACTTAGAGCTAAAGAGAAAAACCAAATAAGATTTTTTTTTTTTTTTTTTTGTATATAATCTTGCATAATCTCAATTATCATATTGCTGAAAGTGATCTTATACACATTTAGAATTCTCTCCATCAACATTTTCTCAAGATGAAATCATGATCTTTAAATAATTGTTGTCAAAAACCGTATTTTAGTATAGTGAGTTTTATAAAATTAATAGTAAGATTGTATCTTTCACAAAATTCCACCAGGGTAGTTCGCAAATATATATATATAATGATAATGGCATATCTTTTTGAATCTCTTTGCCATCAAGGTTTTTGCGTCTAGATCGTTTAAGCATCATCCCTTCTTTTATAACCGTTCCACCTTGTATTCATAGCGCAATGTTTAACTCTTACCATAGCGATAATAGCTTCGAAAATTAAATTCATTTACATTGACAATGCGAGGACTCGCAGTACTGTTAAACGTATTCAATTTGCTACATGCTTTTAGAAAATGTTGCCAACATTCTTTAAAAACAGGTTTAGTCTATTTTCCAACAAGAACTCTCGTTCAATTTTAATATTAAGAAAACACCACAACAATAAAGTGAAAGAATTTTAAGCCGTTAAAATCCTTTTCTTGTACGCCCGTTATAATCACTAATTCAGTATTGCATTCAAATACTCAAACTAAAATACTAAATGTGCAACAGAACAAGCAGACATTTGTTGCATCCAAAGCAAGTTATTTTATGCATCGATCAAACAGCTTCTTAGGAAAGCAACATGTGAATGGAAAAGTAATTAGCAACGTAGCTAGCAAATTATACAGCAAACAATGTCAAAATATTCTTTGGAAATAAAAAAAAAAAAATCATCAAGGTCCATATGGTTGATTAACTTGAAGCAATTTGGCAACTTGATATTTTAGTCACTCGCACTTGTTTAACACGACATCGTTATATACAAACAGAACAAAGACTGATAAGACCAAATTCTGTAACATACGTCTGATAAAAATAACAAGAAAATGTAATCCATAAACATTATTCAGTCGTGTTCTCAACTCAAGTATAGACATTTATTGTACCATATTAACCAAACTCATCACGGTTTCAAAACGGCCTACATGCTTTTCTCCACATGTTCCCAATCAGATGAGAAGCCATCAGAGTAATAGTTAGGAAGTTGAAACTCACTGGTTCTGCAAGGCTGAATTTCTTGACTGTCATCCAAATCCTGGTGAAACTTCTCTGGGATTGATTTGTCCATGGCAATGTAGGAACCGAGATGCACTGTTGTGTCATTCATATCTTTGTCAGCAGGATTTTCATGGACGTCCAAACTTTTACCCTCAGATTTTTTTGCAACTGTTGTGTCATCCATATCTTTGTCAGCAGATCCAACTCCGTCTAATTGTTTCCCTTCTAAAGAAATAGAGCTTGAACCTTCCAGCCTGGATTTAAGAATATGAAACCTAGCCACAACAGATGCCTCATAATCAGTACTATTTTTTTCAGGAATAGGGGAGTCTTGGCAGAAACTGACTGCATTTTGATTATCAGTCCCTCTAGGTGATGACTTGTCTTCCATGTCTGATAGTTCCTCTGGCTTGGTAGTATCAATGCATGACTGGTCAACCCGGGCTTTGAGAACTTGGTATCTGGCCATAACAGAAGATTCATGATTTCTTTCAGGCTCCTCATTTGAGGATGAAACAATATAACTATTAATGGCTTTATCCAGGTTCCCATCACCACTTCCTCCAGGTGTCATTGCATTATTAGGCTTGTTGACATCAGTAAAAAAATTCAACCAAGATAGTCCCTCTAGACTTGGAGAATCCAAGACAGACAAATTAAGGGCAGTTGAACCACTGTTCGGATAATTGTGCGCTTTAGTTTCAGAACTCTGATTTTGCCTCAAATTCGGAACTACCTCAGATTTTGATTGATTTTCTATCTCTACAAAATTTATAAAAGATAAAATATAAAACAAATTTCCATGATATTTATAAGAATGAGGAATATTGAGATAAAGAGAAAATGTCAACCTCTTTCCTTGTAAGAGTGATTATCCATTACAATCTTAATTTGGTTATAGCGAGCCTTGTAATAGACAGAACACAGTTCAGCTTCAGCCTCAAGCCAAAGATTCTTATATAACGCTGCCTGAGGATCTGCTACTTCATCGTGGAAATTCTCATTAAGAGTCCTTTTCAGATCCTATAAAAAGGTATGCCCGCAGTAATTAAATATTTCCCTTCCGCTGTATTTTCTCTCTTTCCAATTGAAAATACGTGTTAGTAAGAAATAAAACAATCTGAAATACCTTAGTCATGCCATCAGTCATTGTCATTTCTCTAGCCCCCCTTCTTGAGGAAATTGAATTTGAAAGCTTCCAAAGGGGTTTGGCAGACCTGAAATGCAAGTTTGCATCCGAAACAAGTGGATTCTCAACCTTAGAGATCTCTGGTCCAAGCTTGGTTAATTGTCCCCTCTTGAAACTTGCATTCTGAGAATATATATATACATATATATATATATATATATATATATATATATATATATATATATATATATATATATATATATATATATATATATATATATATATATATATATATATATATATATATATATATATATATATATATAATGAGCAAAAGTTTTCTTCTACTCAAGCCATGAAAAAGTGTTTACTATCCTTTATAGAGCTGCTTTGTTATTGAATATAAGAAACAAGAACATCATACCTGGTGAAACTCACGCGATTCTCTAGCACAGTTAAACGTTTCTGGCTGATTGTAAAGACATTCCTGTGCAGGGGCAATTTGTTCAGTAGTCTTTAAAGCACAAGTATTAAGATTACTGATCACATGTTTAAGGACATTGCAATCTCTCTCTTTCAATTCACAGACATCATTTTCGCAGTGGTAAAGGAGCAATTCTGATAAATTTTGCATAGTATTAACCAGCATTTGGACATTTAATTTTTCAGTTGTTACTCTCCCAGCTGTATTTACAGGCGTAGCTGTAGTATTTACGACTGAAGAAGGTGAAGAAAATGTAGTAGTGGCATTTACTACTGAAGAAGTTGCAGTGGTGGTATTTACTAATGAAGAAGTTGCAATGGTGGTATTAACTACTGAAGGTGTGGCAGTGGTATTAACTACTGAAGGTGTGGTACTGGTATTTACTACTGAAGAAGGTGCAGTAGTGGTATTTACTACTGAAGAAGGTGCAGTAGTGGTATTTACTACCGAAGGTGTAGTAGAAGGTGCGGTAGTGGTATTTACTACCGAAGGTGTAGTAGTGGTATTTACTACCGAAGGTGTAGTAGTGGTATTTACTACCGAAGGTGTAGCACCATGTTCCAAGAATTTATTCAAATTGCATCCAGCCTTTGCATCACCTATGCATGATGTGTGCTGTTTTTGTGTCACCAATTTGTTATTCTCTGCAACTTGATACTCCATTTGAGAAGATCCAGACTCAGAATTGGTTGCATTGGCTGCTGGCAAACTATTTCCCTTCATTTTAGTAACATCCAGAACTTGAAGCCCAAAACCACAGTTAGGATTAAATGGAAAAGGTCCACCATTCACAGCACTACCCAACTTAAAATCGTCATAAGCAAAATTTGTTACTGAAAATTTCCTTGGAGAACCTGAAGAACCTGTTCCTTGATAGCCATTTGAATTTTCAGCTGACTTTTTTGTATTGCTATCTGTATTAAGCAGGTAATGCTGAGACTCGTGAATGATGGGACCAAAGCTGCTTTCTTTTTTGTGTACATATTCTTGAGGCAGGACCGCAGAAGGTTGAAAATAAGAAAAGTGAGCAGCTGAAGCTCCCTTCCAGCAAGGTGAGTCTTCAGCAGGATTGCATCGGTCACCACCCTCAAAAGATTTCTCAACATTGACATCTTCCATAGTGCAAGGTCTTAAGCTTGAAGTATTCATATTGGCATGAGGGGTTTGATATTCAGTCCTTCCTCTAAATATATAATCAAAATCATCCCCCAAAACAGTCTTGTCTGAACCCATTGCTTTGTTTGATGGGGAAGGCTCATTTCTTCCTAGATGGCCACGGATATGAGTTGAGTCGAAGCAACCAGAGATTCCAGGACAGGGCCTGACAGAAGCCTCCTTTGTATTATAGAAACTACTGTACCCAACATGTTGATCTGATATAATATCATCAATATTCATATCTGTAATCAAACCTGTTCTAGGCATCGAAGAAACAGTATCAACCTTTGAAGATTTATCAATATGTCTTGAGTGTTTGTCATATGAACCAATGTTTGACAGGTGATTGTTCCCTGAATCAGCAACTGCTTTCATCAAAGGGGTCTCATGACGTGTTTCCACAGGCATTGAAGGCGACTGCAGAGAAGATGAACCTAGAAATTCAACTGGCATAGATTTGAGATTTCCCCACCAGCTAGATGTATCAGGTAAGGGACGTGAAATTGCAGGCATGTAGTTTTCCCGATCAGTAATATATGAAACCTCACCACCAACAGAGTCCTTCACCTCTCCGTTTGCTGCATGCAATAAAAAAGACTTATGTTCAATATAAAAGATTAGAAATTGATTTCCCATTTACCACCATCCAATTTAACAAGAAACATATAACAGATATTCATTCACAAACGTTGTTGTATGAGATGTGTTCATTCCAAAAGCTGATAAAAAAATGTTCATTCCAAAAACATTTTGCAGGCTTTCTCATTTGAAACATCCCCTGACACAAGACAATCGTATACTTACATTGTATTATATGCATGCATTATGTATACAAGATATCATATCATATTACATAATTTAGTATTAACAATATAAGCTGACTGATTTTAAGTGTGTTAGTAAATTACATGAAGACTACATTAAACTTTCTCGACGGGCTGTTCAGAAACATTGAAATCAGATACACCTTACACAGAAATCAGACACACCTTACATAACCAAAATCGACTGAGCACGTCTATATCTGGCAATAGAAATTGAAAAAACAAAATCAATACAAGGGAAATAAAAAACAAAATACCTTGTTTGTGGTTCATTATTTCTTCTACCAAGCCAGGAACAGCCTTTGAGGGGAGACTGCTGCTCCCAACTCCAACCTGTTTCCCTTTACCACTGCCATTGAACTCGCAAAACCTTTCCCAGCAAACACCTTTTTGACCAGAAAACCCTAATTCAGATAAGTTGTTAGCCTCCTCCAGAGAGGGCCAATCCGAAGGGGAGGTCAGAGAAGACCAGTGATAAAGCGGCACCAAAGAAGAGTGATCATGAATTGCAGAAGGCACATGATACGGTTGGGCTTCTACCAAACTTGATCTTGCAGCATAAGAGGGAAAACCCCGTTGAGGGTACTGAGCAGTGGAATCCAATTCTCTAACGGGGTTCGAAAAGAAATCGTACCCGTAAGGTTGATAGTGAATTGGAGGCGCAGACACTTCGGATTCAATTGAATAGTCTGTGTGAGTCCCTGAATCCATGGACAACACATCGGAGGAAGGGTAAGGATTGACACTAAACGGCGCTGCAAAAGCTGATAAACTTGAAACTGGTGAGAAGAAATAAGGATTCGATCCCCCAACACCCTTCATCGCTTGCAGATTAAGCTGTCATGAACAATCCTTCAAACTGGTTCAGAATTAACTTACAGTTACTGGTGTGGAAAAGAAAACAATTTTCAAAGCTGGGATAGCAGAATTCAGAATTTATAACAAAAAAATTATATGAGAAACAGAAATTATATGAGAAGGTACAAAATTGAAAAGATAACATGTGAAGATGGCGGAAAACAAGGAATTATAACGGAATATGTAATTCAACTCAATTAAATAAATAAGTATATTCTTTATTATCAAAATCTTATTAATTTGATAATATAATTTAGTTTCAATTTTTTGTTAAAATATTAAAGTTTGTTTCATTCACATAATATATTTATTATTTATTACTCCATTACATTTGCAATTACCTTATACTTATTACATTTAACATTTAATTATATTTATATCATAATATTAATATTCAATTTACATTTATGTTTATATTGTATTAAAAGTTTTATTTTTGGAGTTATTATTATAGGAGGTTATTGAATAGTTGATAACAAATAAAAATTAATTCTTCTAATTATTATTAAACTAGTTTTTTATTAAATTTATAAAAAGTATATTAAAAGATAATTATAAAAATAATTATGAAATCCAAAGATAAAATAACAATAAATAATGAGGTTACTAAGCAATAAATAGTAATTATAGATTATATATATATATATATAGATTTTGTTACCATTTATTTAAATAAATTTATTAAATAATGGAATATGTGAGACCCTAGAAAATTAGCACTGCAAATCCCTGTTACATCACCATTAATACACGCCACATCACGGCTCAGGGAAATTAAAAACCCACTTTGCACCGCATGCAAGCCTGCCATGTGTCATTTTAGAACCTTAGGAAATCTGTAGTGGGAAACAGGTGGCAGTAAGTGAGTGCAGGACCGTTTGACGTGGGAGGAGAAAATGATTTCTCTAAAAACACTTCCTCTCACTCTCGCCACTCACCTTCTTCCTCACGAAGCTCACCCCTTCATCTTCTCCAACTTCTCTCCAAGAACCTTCACCTCCTCTCTACCATTACTCACTTCTTTCAACTCCAATCAACTTT